GGCTGAATGCGCGAGCTGTCGCGCCAAGTGCGACACCCATCGATGCGAGCATGCCAGTGATTCTGGCCACGTGGCGGACCGGGACTGGTCGGCATGCCTTGCTTGCGCTCAGGAGGTTCCGGATGGTTGCATGTAGTGAGGCTCGTCGGTCCGGACCGATGGAGAATCGGCCGGTATCGGTCTCGAGTTCTACGCCCAGGAATCGGAGACGCTGCGATGGTGACAGTTGTGATTTCTTCGCGTTTATCACAAGGCCTGCCTCTTTAAGATCCAATATCACCCGCTGGCAAGTTGCTTGCGCGTCCTCTTTCGACTGGCAGAGAAATAAGATGTCGTCCACGTAAGGTACGACTCGGATGCCTTGTTCTCGCCAACGCCGAGCTAGTTGCTTGATGAGCTGCGTGAAAACGAATGGAGCTGTCGCGAGGCCAAATGGTAGTGAACGGAATGCGTATGTGCGCTTATCAAATTCAAAGCCAAGGAACTTCCAGCACGATGGGTGGATGTCGATGTGGTGGTAACCAGATTTGAGGTCAATGGAGAACATCCAGTCCCCAACGCGCGCAAGGTCGGCGACGCGGCTGAGCCCTTCGTACTTGAACTTGGGGATGATCAAGTTGGCGTTGACTTTCCTCAGATCAAGAATGAGCCTGCATTTGTCTTTTTGCTCGACCACGTTGAGTGGACTTATGCATGTAAGGTCCGTTGCGGCCATCGGAATTGCTGCTCCCGTCTCTATGAGTTCTTGGATGGCGGTACGTGTGAACGTGGCATGCGTGTTTGCCCCGACATGATTGCGATCGTGGAAATGTTGCGGTGGGCCGTGGCTCCATGGCAACCAGTAACCCTTGGCGATGACGGAGAGGACAAGGCTGCTGGGGCACCATGAGCTCCACCACGCAAATGTCGCGCGAAGACGACCGCGCATGTGTGTAATAGTTCTGTCTGTAACGGCAAATTCGTACGGATCGTCGTGGCATGCCGCCTCGCACCGTCGTGCTCCTGTACATTTGAGGCCAAGTGGTATAAGCTTTGAGTATTCCACGTTAAAGCATGCGTGTGCATGTACTTGTACGGGCAACCATTGATCGAAGGTGTGAAGAGAATGAACAATTGAATGAAATGTCAACGAATGTGTCGGGAATGTTAACGCATGTCAACGCATGTCTCTTCTTCTCCTCGTTTCCCCTTTTTTTTTTTTTTTTTTTTTTTTTTTTTTTGCCCCGTCGTCCACTTGGTAGGACATGGTTGTGCCTGCCCTTAGTGCGTAGGGGCTGATGCCTAGGGCCATGGACACCGTTGTCCATTGTGCTTTCTCTCATTCTCTCTTATCTCTCTCTCTCTCTCTCCCTCTCTCTCTCTCTCTCTCTCTCTCTCTCTCTCTCTCTTTCTCTCTCTCTCTCTCTTTCTCTCTCTCTCTCTCTCTCTCCCTCTCTCTCTCTCTCTCTCTCTCTCTCTCTCTCTCTCTCTCTCTCTCTCTGCTCCTCCTCTTGATTTTCATAGTCTCTTTGCCAAAACCATAGGCCTTTAGGAAGGTAGTTTTTATTAAATCAACCAACACACATAGCAATGCTTTCCTAGCATGCCACCAAGTGGCCAACATATGGGACCGAGGGGTTGTTGTTCCCCTTCCCTATCCTAGGCCCAAGCCTATCCCACCCTTTACTAGGGCTGGCCTCTTGCCATCGCAAACCCCTAGGGTTGCCCACGGTTTTCGCACTCAAGAGTGCACCGTGCCTAGCGCCCAAGCGCCTAGTCTCATGGCCCGCTCCTACACCACCGGAGCGGGTCCCTGGCCTCCATGCCCGTTCCGAGGGCAGGCACTTGCCACGTGGCCCGGCTGGCCACAGCGGAAGCATGAGCCCCGGAACCCACGGCAATTGGCCGTGGGCGAGGGGCCTCGCTTGGGTAAGAACGGCATCGGCCCGTTGTTTCCGCCGCGGTTGACACGAGCGTATCCGCTTGCCGCACGGTCCATCGCCGCCATGTCCGCGACCGCCTGCTTGAAGGGTCGAGAAGTCAGCAGGCTCTTCTGCTGGTACAGCTTAAAGCGCTTCGCCGTGCGAAAGTCGGAGGCGTCCTCCACTTGAAGCACCTCGAAACGCCCCGCGATGAGGTTGAGAGCGTGTGAGATGAGTTCGAGTCCGCCCGCCGGATCACCGCGCTGCGCCTTGTATTCGGCGTGCAGCAGGTATGCCCGCAGGTCCTCCAGTAGCTCCGCTTGCTCTCGCACGGAGTCGTTGACGAAGGTTACCGCCGAGAAGGTAAGATTAGAAGAAGGGAGGGGGGGAAGGTTTTCCGTGCCAATAAAATTAACATTGTTGACTGGAGCCTCACCGGCTTCATCTTCAGAGTCGTCGGTGTCGTTGTCGACCGCTGGAGCAGGGGGAGCGGCAGTCGCTGCGTCGTTGTCATGCCGGTTCGTCCGTGCTCCCCGTGTGCCTTTCTCCTTTTTTGCAGTTTCTTTTTTAGCCGACGCAGATGCGGCGGGTAGTGCAGTTTCCGCGGCTGTAACGCTGACGGGTTGCTGCTGTAGAAGGGACAGCAGCGCGTTGACCTGGTCCGGGGTCAACGCCTGCGTCAGCGCAGGGGCGGCGGTCGCGTCAGACGAGGAGACTGCAGTCCGCCTCCTCTGACGCTGACGCGACGGTCCAGCAGCGGGTGCTGGCGTGTGCTCGGCGTCAGTCGCGTGTGTCGCGCCAGTCCCCGTCGCCACTTGCGCCACAGGTGCCACTAGCGCCACAGGCGCCACTGGCGCCACAGGCGCCACTGGCGCCACAGGGACCGAAGGGTGCTGCTGGGTTTCGGCGTTTTTGTGGACCTCGAGCCCGCCCAGCAGCACGTCCACTGCAGTCGGGGCGGAAGGTCCGTCTTCTGCCCGACGCTTGTTACGGCGTTCGCCCGCAGAATCGCGGGCGTTACGGTCGGAGTCGGAAGCGGGGGTTGACGAGTTCCCGTTGTTAAGTGTCGGCGTAGGTGCCATCGTTGAGCGATTGAAGTTGAAAATGTCGCTGAGTAAAGTAGAGGGTGACTCGCCTCTAGGAAGCGATTTAATCCTAGCCAGCTTGGAGGGAAAAACTACTCGAGCGGAAAATGTTGAGTGAGCCGTTTGAAAATTGAGAAACGTGGGTGGAGGGAAATGAGCTCCAACCCACGGTTTTTGTAGTTGGAGAAGGGCGTTTAGCGCGCTTCGACGGTGCCAATTGTGCAGTACAAGCAGCTTCGCTTTCACAATACACAATTTTAAAAAACACTACATGTGTGTTTAAAAATTATAATATTTCGAGGTTCCCTCTTATGGTAGCTAGGGTAGTCACTACACAGGCGCGTGCCTTCATTGTACCGTATCCCCCCGGATATACCCCCATGGGGGGCAATAATAAAACAGGTTTTTTCATGGGGGTGGGCTTATAATCGAGTAAATTTATAAGCGCCGGCGTTTATAAAATGACATACATTTGTTTTTATCTTTTAACACCAAACTGTAGGTCTCGTGCTTGCCTTTTCAATCGAGTCGAAGTTACATGGGATCGTCTGTGAAATTCTCGCGCGCGCTGGGAGATACACCCAATCTGACTCACATCCAGCTCCTGACAGGTCCTGCAGACTGGACCCGCATCCAGTGCAGGGTCCGAATGTGAAGGGAACCGAATCTGCAACATATTCGCCTGCTAAAGTAAAAATCGTTACAGCTTTTTGAACACATTTCAAATTTTAAAGTTTACGTGCGCTTATAATAAAACAAGTTTTTTCAAGGGGTGCGCTTATAATCGAGGAGGGGATATAAGCGCCATATGCCAATTAGAAGCGCCAGGCGCTTATCCTAGGGTGGCGCTTATATCCGGGGGGAGACGGTATTGTCAGTTCATTGAGTCACAGCCAGGCCCCAAAATGTCAGGGTAAAATAACCTGATTGCCCTGACTGGCGGTCGCTTTTTTTGGGGTTACCCTGACCCAGTCAGGCTCCCGGATTTCTTACCCTGACTCATTAAGAGTTTGATTTTTTTCTCCCTTATGAATTCCGTGCTATAGATTGTTTCCCCTGACTTTCATCAGTGTTTTAATCCTGTTACACTGATACCGAGTCTTTCGTAGCAAGGATCTGGTGGATTCTTACACGAAATCAGAGAATGATTTTATTTTTTACCTTGTTTTCATCAGGGTACGAATTTTTTTACCCTAGGAGTCAGGGTTGGCCCACCCTGGAACTCTGATTTGGCAGGGTAGGCCAAAACCAATTTTGGGCCCTGGTCACAGCCTCGTTATTTGTTATTCCGCGCACTCTCTTGTTCAACTCATTACAACTACATCCTCTATTATTGTTTCGTTTTATTTCATCAGTAGCGTTTTCTTACTTTGCCACCGTGCTATATCCCTCAGTGCCCCGAGCCTCTCCCCTGTTTCAGTGCTGGCAGCACGTGCCTGGTAGGGTAAGCAGGTCCACCGTTCAAAAACGTTCCGTACCACGAGTCACCATGGCTTTGGTGCACGCACAGGCATGCCCCGGCAGGCATGCCCCAGCAGCCTTGGTGCAAGCAAACTGGGGCTTGCCGAGGCGTTTCCACGGCGCGAAGCCAGCGAACTACCCCAAATCTTGAAGACCAAGAAGCCTTCGAAACCCACAAAGCCTTCAAGCACAACCACTCTCCACCATTCTAGACAATTCTGAGATACTGCCAGCTTCAAGCATGGCGGCTGCTAGCTTCACCTCGCTGTCTCTGAACGTTGATCCGCGTGGCGTGGCTCATTTAAGGCTGAGCAGGCCTCATGCATCAAACGCGATGAACCTGGACATGTTCAGAGAGCTCCCGCTGGCAGTCGCGTCTGCAGACGACGATCCTTCTGTACGCGTTATAGTTATCTCAGGCGAAGGCAAGCACTTCTGCGCAGGATTAGACCTCCAGACGCTTTCGCAAATCGCGTCGGCGCCAGGGTCTTCAACCAGTGAAACAGAGTGCGAGGGAAGGAAGCGCGAATCGTTCCGTCGACAAATTTTCTCCATGCAAGAATCACTGTCCTCTCTTGAGCGATGTCGAAAGCCTGTGATCGCCGCGATTCACGGCGTGTGTGTCGGCGGCGGAGTGGACCTTGCGACGGCGTGCGACGTCCGTTTTGCGAGCGCTGACGCACGATTCGCTGTGAAAGAGGTCGACTTGGCAATCACTGCCGACCTCGGCACGCTGCAGCGCCTCCCGCGGCTCGTCGGCTACGGCAACGCCATGAACCTCGCGCTCACAGCCCAAACAATCAACGCGGAAGAGGCGCTGCGGCTGGGATTGGTGCAGGGCGTGTTTCCGTCGCAGCGCGAGCTGATGGCTCACGTGCAAGGTGTTGCGGAGGCGATCGCTGCAAAGTCGCCGCTGGCAGTGGTGGGAACGAAGGCCGTGCTGCGGCATGCGCGTGATCACAGCGTGGCGGATGGGCTGGAGTTCGTGGCTACGTGGAACGCCGCCATGCTGCTCTCAGACGATCTTACTGCCGCTGTGAAGGCACTCCGGTCGCGCAAACCAGCTGTTTTTTCGAGAATGTAGCCGTAAGGTGTTCCTCCTGCATCCGGTCTAGATGCTGACCTGAATGCGGTGGCCTGGAGACTCGATTTCATGGATGTAGTGGAAAGGAAAGGCGTAATTGTTTCAGGTTTGGATGCACGATGCTGACCTGAATGTGCCATATTTTGGTGGTCTGGCTCCCTATGTGTATGTGTGTGTGCACTGCATGAATGCCAAACACGTTTAGGTGGATGAGACAAGGTCACGACTTCATGGATGTAGTGGAAAGGTAAGGCGTAATTGTTTCAGGTTTGGATGCACGATGCTGACCTGAATGTGCCATATTGAGAAAGCTTGCTTTCTTTCTTATCAATTGGCATCGTTCTCATTACAAATGGCGTATTACAACATTTGCATCATCGTTCGACATAAGCTAGTGCGGACTAATAACACTAGCTATTATGTACCCTATCCAAGTGGCATTAGCAAGGCGGTTTACACTGGGGTGGGTGGTGGGAATGTTGAGTGAGCCGTTTGAAAATTGAGAAACGTGGGTGGAGGGAAATGAGCTCCAACCCACGGTTTTTGTAGTTGGAGAAGGGCGTTTAGCGCGCTTCGACGATGCCAATTGTGCAGTACAAGCAGCTTCGCTTTCACAATACACAATTTTAAAAAACACTACATGTGTGTTTAAAAATTATAATATTTTGGTGGTCTGGCTCCCTATGTGTATGTGTGTGTGCGCTGCATGAATGCCAACACCACACCAGTCACTAGGTAGACTGGAGGGGTTCGGTTAGGTGGCGAACAAGGAGGGCCTTGGTGTAATAAAGTGCAAGCATGGCCACATGTTCTTTTCGAGGTGCCTAATTAATGGCTGATCCGTCTAGATGTAGCATGTTAGCGAATAAAGACCCTGGTATGCATTCTCTGACTGGAATTAGCATTCCCGGTTCTCGGCAGCTACCCTAATAAGAATACGAGATGCTGCTATGGATTCATTTGATTTTTTCTTCTGTATGCAACCTCCTCCATGTTGGAAACAATAAGTCCTAAGTGCGCTTCTGTCGTATCAAAACCCAAGGCACCAAGCGAAGCAGTCCCAATCGGAGCATCGAGTCAACCTCGGAGGTTAGGGTAACCGCCTGGAGGTTACGAGAAAGTCAAAGGTCGCTGACCTTTGACTCGACAATTACAGCGCGACAGTTAAGGACACACAACTGACTCGCTACAGAGCAGTTGCCCGAGTCGCACTGTATCGAACCGCAACAGCAATACAGTTATCTACATATCTATTCGTATTCCCTGTACTCTTATATAAATCCTTGTATTTGCTTGTTTAATTCAATCAACTTTGCTCTCACACACCAGTGCAAGGTCGGTTCAAATTCTTCACTAAACGCTTCCGCTATTACAACTACTTCACCTAAAGTTATCCCTTGCAAAGATCCTAAGGGGCTATCTCAGCCCAACATGGTATGAGAGCTGACAAGGGAAACTCTACTCCTTTTTCAAGATCATTACAAGACATGGCGACAAACAAGGAAAGGAGCTCCCCTAATGGCTCCTCGGGCACTACTCCTACTCCACCGCCAGCCTCTGGCCTGCAGACAGAAGAAGGCACGGCAACAAGACCAAGAGGAACGTCAACCGAAACCCCCATGAACCACCCTTCGGACTTTGACCAGAACATGATGGAGAAATTTTTCTCCTTCATGTCCTTCTACGAACAACACCAGCAGTCGGGACCTGCACAAACACACAACAGCAACAATGGAGCGACACCCATGAGTCTTGATGGGTCGTCATATGCGCGAGGAAACCAGCAGCAGCAACCTACCTTTGCTCCGTACGAGCGCGGGTCAATCAGCTTCGTGCCCCACCCGCAACCTTCACCTGGACAAGAAAGACCACTGGACGCACTTCAAGTTCAGTCGCAGTTTGCACACGTCTTAAAACTGCAAACGTCAAGACCCTTCGACGGCAAAGACTTCTTTACCTGGTCCTTTGAATTCGAGCTGATGATGGAGGGCGCGCAGATACTCGGCTTCTTCGACGGGTCCCTGCAGTATCCAGCCAACGGGACACAATATGAAAAGCAGCAGTATACGTATCAATCAATGATGGCGTATACAATCCTATTGAGGAACGTGACACCAACTCAGCAGCAGAACATTCGCTCTTACCGGACCTTCGGCAACTCGGCGGAGCTCGCGTACAGCCATCTGAAGAACCTGTATCAAGCAACAGACAGTGTAAACCAGAGCAGGTTAATGGCGCAGTTGACGACAGTTGAAATGAAACCAGGAGAAAAAGGACTGGCGTATATCAGCCGATGTCGCGAACTACGCGACAAGCTGCTTCGATGCGGAGGGTCAATCTCTGAAGACGCCTTCGTGACAGTCATCATTGGTGGGCTTGGTCCTCAGTGGCGCGCCACCAAAGCCATTCTTCGAGCCCACGGAAGAATCTCTGAAGCTGCACTCTGCGCCGAAATACATGCCGAGCAACAAGATATGGACCTGCAGGAAGAACGACACAGGAAGAAAACGACAGTATCAGAGTTCGCATTCCACACTCAACGACGACACAGCAATTATAACAACCGACAGCAGCAACCGAAGATAGTACCTCCTTTCTGCCACATCTGCAAGACTTCAGGGCACCCGCGCACACACTGCCCGAATCGTCAGCAATCAACGGCATCACAGCGACAACTTCGACCTTCAAGCTCCCAAATGGCTTCAACACAAGCAAGTGCGACGACCACTATTCAAGCTTCAACGACTTCACAACCTGCACGAGGAGCAAGAAACATAATCAACTGCATGACGAAGATAACCGATTCGTGTACAACCGAATCACCACCACACTACTCACCGGAAGAAGAGCTTGACAACAGAACGCCTCGCCGTGAGCTACTCCAGCCGAATCCAACGTACGCCGCCATCGCTCAAAGTGAACCGTCCGGCCAAGACACCTGGTTCTTGGACAGTTGCTGCGGGCAACACATGTGCTCGTCCAGGCGTTTCGTACAACGCGAACATCGACTCCAACGGGAAGTAATCATCACGGTTGCCAACAACCAAAACCTGCGCACACGAAGACAAGGAGTGGTACAACTTCAGTCAAGAGAAACAAACGTCATACTGCACATGTCTAAGGTACTCATCGCTGAAGGACTCGGCTACAACTTACTGAGCGTTAGCCAGTTGATGGCGAAAGGAATTCATCTGGAAGCCGACAGCACGACCCAGGAGTTCAAGCTTTACCACGGGAGAGGCGGTCTCTACATCGGAAAAGCAGTACTGAAGAACAACGTCTTCGTCCTCGACTTCGTTCCTGACCTCGGCACTGCAGACAGCGACGCCATCGTGAATTTCACTGATTGGACACACCCTCCGGATCTCGACCACGACTTCAGCCCGGGAGGCTTCTGGTACTCGCACACCATTCCTGAAGCAGAACGAACACGAGCATTAGCAACAATTCGACAATCGGCAGCAGTAACAACATCGACATCAGCAGCAACAACATCGGTAGCAGTAACGACATCGACATCAGCAGCAACAACATCGGCAGCAGTAACAACATCGGCAGCAGCAACAACATCAGCAGCAGCAGAAACAACGACACCAGTCACAGTCAACGAAGCACCACCAACACCCGCACAACAGCTGAATCCGACTCAACGTGAAGTCCACCGAAGCGCCAACCTCGTCGCCAGCTTTTACTCCAACTCCGACGCATATCAGCGTTCACCTGGACACCGCGCCTCTGAAGAGATCTGGCACGCACGAACAGGACATCCAAGCAACACGGTTTTGAATAACACGATAAGAGCAGGAGTCCTTGACAAAGATTCTCTACTTCTACCCGATGGCAGAGAACTCCAGAAGGCACGAGGGACTTGCCTTATATGTCCCGAAGCTGACTTACCTCATCGACCGTTTGCTTCACATCACAACCCGAGCGCTCCAGCGTACGCACCACTCGAAAAAGTCTACAGCGACATCCTCTACAATCGCGAACCAGGACAAGTCAACTACAACTACACCATCACCTTCATCGACGCCGCCACTCGATACGTCTGGCATCGCAACCTACCCAGCCGCGACATGGCACTCGCAGCATTCGCCGCCTGGCTACCGATAGCAGAGAGAGAGTCTGGAACACAACTAAAAAATTTTCAGTCAGACGGAGGTGGCGAGTACACCTCTCACCGCTTCAAGCAGTTCTTGGCGGAAAGGGGGATCAAGCAACTCCTCTCCCTTCCCTACGCACATCAGCAGCAAGGTGTTGCAGAACGACTGAACAGGACCCTGCAGAACAGCATGCGCAAACTGTTACGTGGCATGCGGCTACCCAACCACCAGTGGCCAGCAGCAATGGACCACGCTGTCATGCTGCACAACTTGTTGTCGTCGTCGTCACTCCCGAACAACGCATCACCGCATCTGCTGTGGACAGGGAAGCAGGGCAGCACGAAAATGTTACGAGTTTTCGGGTGCATGGTACAGTACAGACCCCCAGAAGCACGAGCGGGAAGATTTTCGCAACGGGCACAGTGGGGACTACACCTCGGCATCGAGAAAAATTACAACGCATGGAGAATCTTCGACGTCCACACAAAGGAAACAGTAGCAGCACGTGACGTGATCTTCTACGAAAGACTCACCCTTCAGACGTACCTCGCCAACTTGCACGAGAATCGGGACCTCACCAGTGGTTTTCGTGGTGACCGAGCCTTCGCATCAGCAGCGGATGAAGCAGACTGGGACGAGCAGAATGTTGACAACGCATCGGCAGAAGCCGGACCTCTCCCGTACTGCTCCGTCAACGTGCCCATGGACGAAGAAAATCCTCGCGACAGTAACAACGCCGAAGTCTTCTACCACTTCGCCGACACCGGTTACGTAACACCTGCAACCGTCAACACAAATGAAGCAGAAAGGATAGGACCGAATTTCATCCCTGATCCAGAAGCGGGAGACGAAGCAGCTTATCCCGAGGATCCAGAACTCCCTCGATACTCACAGACTGGGCTGCAAATCCTCGGCCTCGTCACCGCAGTCCACGGGAACACACGCAGCTCGCTTCCTCAGGAGCCTGCAACGGTTCAGCAGGCTCTGGGGGGGGAACACAGGGAGAAATGGCGTGAAGCCATGGATAGAGAACTGAAGGCATTAGAGGAACGCAACACTTGGAAGGTTGTTCCCGTAAGCGTGGCACGGAACAAAACCATCCTTACCGGGAAATGGGTCTTCCGCATCAAGACGAAAGCAGACGGCAC